GGCTAACTAAACCCTCTTACTTTGAACCACAGTCAAGCAATTTTAAAACAGTTATAGCCAAAAAATCAATTTCAAGGCCGGATCCAAACTAAATAATGGGACTACCAGTCAATTGACTCTCACAAAATCAGTACCAAGACTTAAACTAGCCCGGATTAACGAGCAAATCAGAAATAGACCTAGAACTAATCAAAATTTCTAAATTAATAACATGAAACAAGAAAGAACTGAGAACCCTAATAGAAACTAGAAGAAAGGAAATCTTACTTAATAAATTTTATTCTGATAAAATCACACTAACACATAGCTAACCAAGATCACAACAGACTAATAACCAGGCACAAAATCAAAACAAACATTAACGAAAATTAAATGCGTATCGGAGTAGAGGTTTAACAAGTATGAGAACAAGAAACAAACTAAACAAAATAAAGAAAGGAGAACCAAACTTAACTGACGCTCGAGACTCTGCCACTCTCCGATCTGACGTTTGAACCAATCCGGTGACATTCGACCACCACTGACACTGAATTCCTCATGAGGAAGACGAAAGGATCGCATAGTATTAATTTGGAGAGGTTTGGGGCAATTAGGGTTTTGGCCGGAAACTTTGAATCCATATTCGAGAAGTTCCGGCCATTTTTGAGGATCAGGGCCTTGGGGGTTTGATAGAGGAGGTCGTGGTGGTCTTATGGTGTAAATTTGGTGGGGTTTGGTAAAGGTGGTATCCTGGCCGGAAATTTCGATCTAATATTCGAGCATTTTGGTTACGATTTGAGGGAAACTAGGTTGGGGGTTGGAAAGAGGAGGATGAGAGGATTGAGGGGTGTAATTTTTGAGTGATTTGGAGCTTCGCCGCCGCCGCCGGCGATTTCCGGCCGGCGGCGGACGGTGGCAAGAGGGTGGAGATACGGCGGGGTACGGTGAGGTACGGTGGGGTACGGTGGTGGTGTTACAGTTGTACGAGGAAGATGATAAGTGTTCTTGAGTTCATACAATTTTTCGGACACTTTTATTAAACCCCTTGGACTAATGAGGACCGTTAGATGATGGGGAACGGAGGGCCACGATTAATTGGTCTAACATTATTTCAAAACGACGTAGTTTCTCCCCTATACTACGTCGTTTTAAGAGCTTTTGGACCGGGCAGTTGGGCTAGTTTTGGACAGGTTTCAAGTGTGCAAATTTTGGGCTTTGATTTGGGCTGGGGTGAATTTAGCCCAAATTCCTTTTTTTTGATTTTGTTTTCTTGCTTTTGTATTCTATTTATTTATTTATTTATTTTGGTATTTTAGTATTTATTTATTTTTTCTGGTTTTATAAAAATGCTAGAACAAAACAAAGACTCAATTAAGCTATTTAAACTTCCTAAAATTACTAAAAAAACTCTATTTAGAAATAAAACGCAACAATTAACAATTAAGAGCGCAACAGCCTATTTTTTGCAAGTTTTCTTTAAACTTTATTCTAAATCTAATTAATACCTAATTAATACTAAATTTGTAAAAATAAAAATCCCTAAATGCATGTGCGTATTTTTCTGTATTTTCATATTAAAATGCAACCAATTAACACCAAAATTCACACAAAAATTCACAAAAATTGTAAAATAATAAAGAAATCAATTATTTGAAACTTTTGGAATTAATTTGCTTAGGGCAAAAATTACGTGCTCACATCTATTACTCACCTCAAGCTGGCCACAAGTCTAGCTCGCTATGCCTTTGCCTTTCGAATCAACCTCTTCGCACGCCGAATCTGATTAAAACCACAAAGAATACATTATAATAGGCTAAAGAAACATAACCCAATTGAAAAGACTCGAAAAATACCAAAATTCACTAAGTTGGCAAAACCCGAGCCCTGGGCCCACTTCTCGAAAAATTACGAGATTTACATCACCGGATTCCTCGTCTCTCCACGAGTCCATACATATAAAATTCACCAAAATCGGAGTCCATTTGACCCCTCAAATCATCAATTTAAGCTCTCTTAAGTTTCAAGCCCTAACCTCCATTTTTGGCATTTAGTCCCTTAAATTTCAGTGTTCAATCCATGATTTTTCACTATATAAACATACCGAGTCCAATAGTTCATACCTGATGAAGTCCCTTCGAATTCTCTTCAAAATCGCCCAAGAAACCGCCTAAGCCGAAGTCCAAAATATTTTTCTTCTCTTTCAAAATCGTGAAAACACTGTTCACTTAAACCCAGACCGTTTTCCGCTTCTGCGGTTATCATGCCGCACCTGCGGTCACCGCATATGCGACCAAACGATCGCTTCTGCGATCTCACTTAAATTTCTCCGGACCGCTTATGCGGTCTAGAACCGCTTCTGCGGTCGCCGCATTTGCGGATCCACGTCCGCTTCTGCGGAAATTGCCAAGCCCTCAAGGACCGCTTCTGCGATCGCTCACCCGCTTCTGCGAACCGCTTCTGCGGTCCATTTCCGCAGAAGCGGAAATACCAGATGACAGCAGCAACAGACCTGCAACACACCTCAAAACCTCTCGTTCAACCACCCGAATTCACCCCGAGGCCCCCGGGACCACAACCAAAAATACCAATACATCCTAAAACTTCATTCAAAGTTGTTCTCATCCTTAAAACACATCAAACAACGCTAAAACCATCAAATCACATCGAATTCAAGCCTAAGTTTCTTAAAAATTTCCGAATTACGCATTCGATCAAAAACCCAACCAAACGACGTCCAAATGACCTAAAATTTTACCCGCACATCCAAAATCACCTAGCGAAGCTACTGCAACTCTCGGAATTCCATTCCGACCCCCGGATCAAAATTTCACCTACCAACCGGAATTCGCCAAAATTCAACCTTCGCCAATTCAAGCCTAATTCTACACCGGACCTCCAAATTCAATTCCGATCGCACTCCTAAGTCACAAATCACCTCCCGAAGCTAACCGAATCACCGGAATTTACATTCGAGCCTTCTAACTAATAAGTCAACGTTCGGTTGACTTTTCCAAACCAAACCTTCCTTAAAGAGACTAAGTGTCTCATTTCCTACCCAAACCAATTCAATTCAACTCTAACTCACCCGTTGCTGATAATAAAATATGAAAGAGCAATAAATGGGGGAAACGGGCTGTAATGCATGAGACGACGGGTTGGGTCGTCACAACTTCACAACGCTTCATTTGAAGAAAATTTCCATAGCAAGTATTACCAAGTTGTTGGTACTGAACAGGAGTAAGGTTCTCTTTTATATCGGAGACTATATCAGTGTTAGTATACACACTGATATGGGGTGCAAATTTTGGCTGCTGTTTCACAAAAAACTTAATTCCCTGCATTTGACATGAATAAAAACATATAAATACAACTAAATACACTGACAAGGCTAATTACATATAAAACAACTGGATACAACACAAATGACATTAATTTATCATACATGAATACAACTAAATACAGAATGGAAATTTAAACTGTTGAAAACAACAAATAAATACAATGAAATTGAAAGGAAAAACAGTGATGGGAACCTTGAAAGAAACTTAAAAAGACAACTATAAAAATACATCAGAATACATATAAATACGTATAAATACAACTGAATACATGAATAATACAGATGAATTTCATCAGAAAATTACCTTTTCTTCAACTTTATCTGAGGTTTTAAATGCTTCAACCTCCTTCCCCTTGACAGATGAAGCTTCAGAGATATGGTTTTTCCTCTTTTCCCGAATGGGAAGTGTTGTCTCCTTCATTGATTTCTCGACTTTATCATGTCGAGCTTTTGTTCTCTTCTCCAAAGCAATATCTTTGGCTAAACCTGCGTCCAATTCACCTTGAGTGATTTGCAAGGAGAAAGAGGGCCCATCGAAATTGAGAAGTTTAGTGGGTATACCTCTAGTAATCAACTTGCGGGGTGTATTCTCAGACATTGTAAGAATACGACTTGGGTACTGTTGATTAGATACAATTTGGTTAGTCGAGAGCTTGAGAACAAGCAAAAATGGCGAAAAATCAAAAAAAAAAAAAATGCTAACCACACTACTTATAGAAACAAGCCAGTACAATGTAGATGAAGCGTTAGGGTTTACCCGAGATTGGGGAAGGAGGAAGCTGCGTTGTGAATGAGAGCAATATAATTTTAACCGCGATTACAGGGGATTTGGAAGTATCAATTTAGAGACAAGGGGGAAAACTTGTATTGAGACGTTTTATGTAAAAAGGTATCTATGAGAGAGAGAATCTGAGAATGGAGAGAGAGAAATTAAATAGCGTGTATAATGGCTTAAGTGTAGGAGATACCCAAAATTAAAATTTTTGCTATAAATCATATAACATATGTATAGGATGTAATTTATTGAAATAATATTTATTTTAAATAAATAGGGGGTTAATCTATCCTAGTAAAAATTCCTAGAAGGAACAGATAGCTATAACTTAGAGGCCCGGTAAGCTATAAATTGAGTCTTTTCTACTAGAGAGGCAAAGAAGGAACAGAGCTAGGGCTTTTCGCGTTGGGGATTACAGGTATCATCTGTGAATTATGCTTTTCGTTTTGGTTCCTGTTCGATAATCTGATAACTATGAAATACTATCTTTTTTCAATTGTTATTTGTATTCGTATTGTCCTTATCAAGAATAAAAATTAATTTTTTTAATTTTATTTTATCGGTGTTTGTTTATGACTTTTTCACTTCATATGCATCACAGTATGACTTTTTTCTCTTTGAGTGTCTCTATCTGATAGTTTGCATGTGTGATTATTAATAAAATAGGAATATATTGAAGTTGATTCCTAAGGTTTTATTCTTCTAAGTGTTTAAGAATATTATATGTATAGTGGCCATAGTTTTGTGATAAATTGTTTGAGGGAGAAAAGAGTACTGAAACTTTGGTCATGAACTAAATTAATGTCGAGAATTTTCCATGTAAGGAGGCTATTTGGTACAATTTACATAATAAAGGCCTCTCATCTCTTGAGCCTTCAAAGGAAATTCATCATTGTTAGCTTGCAGTAGTTATAATGGTTATATTCCTAGGATAGTGAAACTGTGAAATTAATTTCAATTTTCAAGGGACAAGTAATACCAAACAAGCCTTCAAGTTTTATCCCTATGAGTTTTGCATCGTAACTCTGCCTATAAGCTTCATATAACCAGTTCAACTGTTCAAGTCTGTATTCCTATGAGCATTGAATTCGTTGGGACATATTCACATAGACATGTCCTACATTAGCAGTAGAGTTGTGCATGCCTAGACCGGTGACCTATTCATACGAAAAAAGGGTTATATTAATTGATACAACATGAAGAATTAACAATTTCAATTAGGGGCGTCAACCGGGCAAGGAGCAGGGGTGCATGCAGCGTTTGAGTACCAGATTCATCTGATCCCGGTATTTTCGACACGAAGCATAGACCTTAATCCTGGATCCGCTTCCGGGAAGGGGTTCCATCTCATCATGGAACGAGCTAGAACATAGGGAGACGGTTGGAAAGATTCATATAGCTGATTCCAAGTAGTTCAGGATTTGAGAACACTTATTAATTGATGAGTTATGTCTTTCATGCTGTTTTTTTCTTGAAGACATGTTTTGTTGATTGCGAGGCCCTCCTTTTGTTTCCTATTGCAAGTGCTTTTATGAATGTGTAAAGAGGTAATATCTCACGTTTCTTTGTTTCTATTGATCGACAGCAACTTGCAACATCTTTGACAAAAGCTCCAAGACAAAATGGTGAGTGACCACTTGAATCTCTTTCTTTTGGACTTTTCATGAGTTACTTGGCAATTGTGGTTTCATGTTTTTTTTCCTGTTGCCTTACTTAGGGTACTCCAAAGATTTCAAACGACATTGACTTGCTTCACCCTCCTGCTGAGCTTGAGAAGCAAAAGCACAAGCTTAAGCGATTGGTCCCATCACCTGATTCTAGTTTTCTGGTATCTACCATTAATCACTATTATTTTGGATTTCGTTGTGATCTATATATATGATTCATGCCTTTTGTCTTTGTGCTTGCTTGTGTAACTTTTGATCAACCGTTGCAGGATGTTAAATGTCCAGGCTGCTTCCAAATGTAAGTTACTGAAAATTAGCAGTTAAATTCCTTGTGTTATAAGTTTCCATGTAGTAGTAAGGTACTAATAATCGATCCAACTCTTACAGAACAACAATTTTCAGCCACTCACAAACCGTGGTTACATGCGCCAACTGCCAGCAAGTGCTCTGCCAGCCAACTGGCGGGCGCGCAAAATTTACTGAGGGATGCTCTTTTAGGGTTAAAGAGAAGGCTATGATGGTCGTGGGGTGATATTTGCTAGAGGTTCTGGTTAAGCTATGACATATTATAAACTAGTAGGTTTTTGAAGAATGAGTTTGTTGAGAGAACTTTTCCTTTGCTCAGTAGTACTTTTTTGTTTTGAGTTCTGACTGATATGAATACTTTGGCTATCATATTACTCTTACCACATTTTGAAGTACTTAATCTTCTTTCCTGATCTTGATTTTAACATTTTTCAGAAGATACTCCATGTTTGTGCATTTATGTTTTTGGTATTCATGTTTAATGCTAGAAATATGCCCTGTTTTGAATTTGAATCGCATGGCTGTTCCTTTGGATAAAATTAAGTTGAATAAAATGCTTTGAGTCTCTCTTGCAATATAGACACGACGTTTGTATGGTACTTTTGACTGGTGCAATGTGCCATGAAAATTGCTTGAATCTGTCAGGAGCTTGACTTACTCAACCCAAGCCTCAGAATGTTTCTAGCTATGTTTGATAAACCTTTTTGGGATGTTATATCATATATGTGTACTTATAACATATAACCACAACTTTATGGTATCGAGTATAACTGAAAAAAGAAGTATGTTCAGCAGATTAATGAATTCTTGTGTGATTGAAGTTGTGTAAAGTCTATTTGTTCAAGTTACTGGTTTTAACCTGGACATTTCAACATACATTACATACAAAATGAAACTTCAAATCCATCTGAACAATGTAAGGGACATGAAAAAAACAGAAACCCAACAATAAAAGAAAAGACCTGGAAGAAAGGCGTCACCTTCCCTTTGCCTCTATGACTTGCCTGTGAGTCCTTAGCATCCACTCAGATCAGATGCAGTGAAGGTTAATCTTGTAGTCACCTTTGTAATCATCCTTGGTTTTTGTCAAATCCTTCTTTCTCCACATCTTTTTGTGCTTCTTTCTCTTCTATTTGCATTTCTCTTGAGTCTCATAGTCCAAGATATATTGACAGTGGAAGCCAAGACTTTGTCACCATAATAGGGAAACGACAAATCTGGAGGGTCCTCCCTCTTAGCATTATTCTGTTTATATATTAGGTCGTCCTACTTATCCACCACAAAGATATTTATATTCATTTCTTTCATCTCAAATCGTTACTAAAGACAAGGAGACCTATTCACTCTCCATGTGTGGAGAAAAAGCAAAAGATTAAAATAAAAGGATAAAAATACCGATTGGGGGAGAATAGAGATGAGCTAAAGTTAGCTGACATGTGGAGAAGTGGAGTGTGCCTCAAAAGGTGCAATTCAAAGGATAAAATAACGTGAAAAATGTTGGAGGAGCAAACAATTATATAGCAAGTAGCAACCCTCAAAAAGCAGAATACGGTATAATGGAAGATATAGATATGCCTTTCTCTTTATAGATTACAATATATCACTTTGTACCGTCCACTTCTTTTACCCAAACACTACCTCTTTATAAAAGCTATTTTTTATAATTACACTTCATTATAACGGTCAAGTTTTCTTTGAAACCAATTTTTCATGTGTTTTCTGTAACAACATTTTACTATAACAGTTAAAAAGTTTCGAAACAAATGAAGCTATTATAAAGAGATTTCACCGTGTTACATATCAAATGGTTGGAGAGAATCTAATGGAACCCCATAGGGCATAGGACTATCCATTGAGTGGTTGGGAGATATTATCAGCCTTTAGAATAAAAAAAATATGGAATTGGGAAGTGTAACGATCCGATCGGTCGTTTTGAGCTTTAGCGCGTCGTTTGGCAGTTTGAGGCCATGAGTAGCTTCACTTCAGGCATTATGACTTGAACGCATGGTCGGAATTGAATTTCGGGAAGTTCGGAGTTGATTTGGAAAGAAAATTCTCATTTCGGAAGCTTTAAGTTGAAAGAATTGACTAAGGTTTGATTTTTGAGTAAACGACCTCGGAATCGGGATTTGAAGGTTTCAACAGGTTCATATGATGATTTTGGACTTGGGCGTATGTCCGGATCGGGTTTTGGATGACCCGTGAGCGTTTCGGCGCCTATTGTGGAAGTTGGCATTTTTGGAAAAATTTCAAAAATTTGGGTTGCAGTGCATTTCAATGTTATCGATGTCCGTTTGGGATTTCGAGTCTAGGAATAGCTCCGTATGGTGATTTTGGTACTGGAGCGCGTTCGGAAGTGGATTCGGAGGTCCATAGGTCATTTTGGGGTCATTTGGCGAAAGTTAGAAATTTGAAGGTTTTTGAGAAGTTTGACCGGAAGTGGACTTTTTGATATCGGGGTCGGATTTCAATTCCGAAAGTTGGAGTAGGTCCATAATGTCAATTGTGACTTGTGTGCAAAATTTGAGGTCAATCGGACGTGATTTGATAGGTTTCGACATCGAATGTAGAAGTTTGAAGTTTTAAAGTACATTAAGCTTGAATTGGAGTGCGATTCATGATTTCGATGTTGTTTGATGTGATTTGAGGCCTCGAGCAGGTCCGTGTTATGTTATGGGAGTGGTTTGTGTGATTGGACGGGGCCCCGGGGGCCTCAGATGTGTTTCGAGGTGGTTTCAGATCATTTCGGGCTGTTTTGCAATAGCTGATACTGGTGTCTGGTGTTGTTTTTCGCGTTCGCGAGGATCCCCCGCGTTCGCGAAGAAGGATTTGGCTTCAGGGACTTTGTTCTTCGCGTTCGCGAAAGGAAATCTCTATTGCACAAGTCTGAATTCGGAGGTTCAAATCTCGCAATCTATAAGGAATTTGGAGATGATCCAAAAATGAAAGTTGTAGCCCTTTGTGTCTAGTTTTCAGAAAAGTAAACCATTTAGCATTTGGATTTGTGTGAAAAAAGTTATGGCTGGTACACTACATGTTGTCCGGGAAGATGAAGAAGAAATTTGTGTTGCACAGGGCTGATTTTGGAGGCTTCCAAAACATGAAAGTTGTATATCTTGGTGTCTAGTTTTCAAAAATTAAAACCATTTGTCATTTGGAGTTTTTTTACAAAAAGTTATGACCATTATACTAGAGGTTGTATGAGAAGAGTTTGAGAATGACTTTCGAGAATTTTGTTCTTCGCGAACGTAATGGGAGGCCCGCGAACGCGAAGAAGGGTTGCCCAGCAGTGTATAAGTTTGCAAAAATTGGTTTGGCTCATTTCATCTCATTTCCTCCATGAGAGACAACCTAGGAGCGATTTTGGAGCTCCATCTTCTAATCTATGTCAAGGTAAGTGATTCCCACCTATTGCAAGTTAATTACTTGAATTATATCTAGATTTTAACATGGAAAATCATGGGAAATTAGTGGAAATTCAGGGTTTTGAAGAAAAACCTAAAAATTTATATTTTTGGATTTTGACCACAAAATTGAACATGAAACTTGGAATAAATTATATATTTGAGTTCGTGGTGTTATGAGTAAAGTTTATCTTCAAAAAATTTCGGAATTCGGGCACGTAGGCCCGAGGATGATTTTATCGACTTTTCAAGCGGAGTTGAAAATTGCTGTAAATAGGATTATAATGGGTATTTGAGTATATATTAACGGGTTTGCATAATTATTGGCTAGTTTTGGAGCGTTGGGCATCGGTTTGAGTCGTCGGAAGGGCTTGGGAGCCGGTTATGGAACTTCGGAGCGAGGTAAGTCTCCTTTCTAACCTTGTAAGAGGAAATTATCCCGATAGGTAAAATAATTAAATATGTGCTTCTATTTGTGGGGGGCTATGTACGCACGAGGTGACGAGGGTCTGTGCGTAGCTACTATTATGCTTAAGTCCGGGTAGTTTAGGACCCGAAAGCATGCTATACTTGAAATATTTATAACCTTATTGACAATTTAAATTTCTTAAATCATATCGAATTGGTAAATGAATTTCTAAAGAAATTAAACATCATTTTCTTGACCGTTAAAGAGAAGTTGCCATTTCTTTGGGTAATTGTTTCCCTGATGAATTCATGATTGACTGTTTGATGTGTTTATTTATATTGACCGCGTCGCATGTATGATTCGCGAGCGGGGTAATAGATGCATCTATGGCTCGCGTCATTCGACCCTCTGGCAGTGCACAGTTTAAATATTATGTTGGATCGGGTCGTACGACCTCGGCATGATTTGCGCATGCTTGTATTGCTTCCCTTGAAATTATAAATAATGATATTGCCTCCCTGGCCTGAGATAAATTGATAATTGAGGAAATATGAACTCGGAAATCTCTTATTATCAAAAGGATTGTTTACTTGCCATATGATTCCCTTGAGTTTTACTACTGTTTTCAATAAATCCACGACTGATTATATTATTGGACCACTAGTAAGTGTCGAAGTCGACCTCTCGTTACTACTTCATCGAGGTTAGACTGGATACTTACTGGGTACGCGTTGTTTTCGTACTCATATTACACTTGCTGTGCATTTTTGTTGCACAGGCACATGTATGTCTAGTGGCCTCGTTGGGCGCAGCGACATGGTTGATACAGAGACTTAGGTGAGCTGCATCTCTCGAGACGACCCGCAGCCAGCAGAGTCTCCTTCAGAGTATTGTACTTTCTTTTCTGTCCAATTTGTATTCCGGACAGTTATTGTATTACATTTTATTTCCTAGAAATTGCTCATGCACTTGTGACACCGGGTTCTGGGATGACTATGGGATTATTCAGTATTTAAATTTGTTAAAGACACCATTATTTTCTCGGTTAAGTTCATTATTTATTGTTTAATATAAGAAAAAGAAATAATTTAAAAAATATTAAAAGGATGAATTTATTTAACTTATTGGTGTTGGCTTGCTTGACAAGTGGCGTCCGGCGCCATCACGACCCTTAATGAATTTTGGGTCGTGACAGGAAGTGTACTATTAGTTCATTTGCTTATGTTTTCCTGAGCCGAGAGTCTAGGGAAAATATTATCTTTATCCTCACAAGCTAGGGGCAAGGTCTGCGTACACACTATCCTCTTTAGACCCCATGGTGTGGAATAATATTGAGTATGTTGTTGTTGTTGAAACTATTTAAACAATTATCAGCCTTTAGAATAAAAAAATATGGAATTGGGAAGTGTATTGTTAATTCATTTACTTTAACCGTTTATAAAATATTTACACAACTAAATGAAAATTCAACCATAGATGATCAGAACATATGACTCACACATAACCATGGGTTTGTGCACCGCTTGACTAGATAGTTTCACTGTTTAAGGTTGAAGGCATATTTAAGGCAATAATTAGGAACAGACCGACAGCACGAGCACACACGTTCCAGGTTTCATAAACTAGGCATTAGATATTTTGAAAGATTCGGCCGCACTCTCCCATTTAATTTGCCATACTTATTAATCCGTACTAATTCTATCTAAAATCAGAGACAATTCCAATTGTATATACGTCTGGTCAAGCCGAAAGCAGTGAGATATATATATATCTCCGAACTCAATTGCATTTTTCTTAATTAATGTCGAATGTAGTGAATGCTAGATGAAGAAGCAACAATTTGTGTAATAACACCCTAGAAATGACCGACTGGTGGCAGCTTTACCTATTTACCTATTTCTCCCTGCCGAATTTTAAAGGAATGGCCATAACAACTACTAGCTTTGACCTTTGGTCGTCAAGTATACGTTCATTTGCCCCAGAATTTTGGAATAATCTTAGTCTTACAGGCAGAGGATCGATGCATGAGTCACCGCTCTTGAAAATTGGCCATTGTTCTCTTCTGACAAGTGTTGCCACAGCTGCATGCTCATGCAATCGTGTCTCCTTATAGGTTCGTTTCCATTATAAAGTCGCCTATCGTTACCAAGTACTCCAGCAAATATTGGACACAAATAACAGCAAGTTAAACCGACTCAATTTTCCCTTTCCCTTAAGCCTCTAAAAGTATATATTCATTCCGAATAATCTCCAAACTCTCAATCATGGCATTCAGAAGTTCAGTAAGTATTACTACTATTAACACTGTATATTGTTTCCAGTTTTTATCTAGTGTGTGTTTTTGAAGTACATGACATGGCTTGACAGTCTTATTTCAACCTCGCAGAATTTGTGGAGATCTATGGCCAATCACCTAAGAGGAAAGGCTACTTTTGCAACATCTACTAATCCTAAAATGAAGTCCTATCCCCATACTACTAATGTTCCCAACCATCCAGATGGTAGGCCCAGGTGAAGTTTTAACAACTATATTAATTAGTACTTCGTAAAGAATCTTTAAGTACTTTATTAAGAAGTGATAAAGATATAATCAGATGTTTTAGCTTGGGATTTAAGTTATATACGCTATGACTTGATGCATGGAGGTTCTTTTTACACCATCTGTGTGGCGTAATTTGTAATAGCGCAGGTCGGTTATTATAGAGATTTAATTGTATAATGACTTGATTGTTGTGTAACATTTTTATCTATACCGACAGTATAAGAACGTAAACTCTTTTAACTTTGAAAACAGGGCAGTGAAGTTAGAGTATTTTCCAGTGTACGTGGGACTAGGGTTGATAATGTTACAAGTGTGTTTTGGGGTACACACAATAGTGCAGCAGTTGGGGCGGTCGCCTAATGTTCGAGTGAAGAAATCAAGGAGAGAAACTGTATCAGAGGTGGAGGAACCTGAGCTTGTGTTGGAGGAAGCCGACAAGTTCCTCAAAAAATCATTCTTCCGACAAATCGCTCATGTTCAGGATTTTGATGATCATTCTGTCATGGATGATCCTATGCGTGGGGATGTTCTGTCCAGGTATCATTCAATATCTTCTTTAAAAGACATAGCAGTAGCATTTGAATTACTCTGTATTTTTCATTTTATAGGAAGGTTGTTTTACTGAATGCAGTATTATTAATCTGAGATGGTAATTTTTGGCCGTTAAAATAATACTTTTTTGTGTAGTTTTTATATATATAAATTTTTTATTTAAAAAAAAATTATAAATTCTATGTTCATTATTCACACCAAAAATTGGTCTAACTTAGCCCTTGTATTTCGAGAAGGTTCACATGAATTTTGAGGGACTATATAATATCGAGAGAAAATGGAAGATAATAGTATGGTTTGTGATTGAGCTCCGTTTGGTATCACCGAAAAAATCAGGCGTCATGACACCTACTAAAGCGAACTTTGAATAACGATAAATCATACCACAAAAGAGAAATCTACTACAAGAGACATAAATATTTAACTTCGTTAGGTCAATTTGATCTACGTCCACGGGCGGACCGGAAGATCTTAACAATGAATACTGATATGGAACAGATGCGGAAACAGAGCCCTGAGCAATCCACTATATAAAAGAGAGTACAAAATATTGAGAGAACAACTTCACGAAGAGGGGAGGGGTAAAATGGGTTAGGAGCGCTGAGGTGGCATGCCATGTGGCATCCACCTCATCAAATATTAGTGCCACGTAGGATTTGGTGTCCACCTTGGACAAACTTAACGGAAGAGGGATATATTTGAACCAATAGTATTACGGTAGGGCTATATTTGGACCCAAAGTATAACGATGGGTATATTTAAACCTTTTCTCATAGTACATGGGTATATTTGACCCTTTTTCGCATGAACAATAAAGTAAGCAAGGAAAGAATTGGGCCCCAGGATACCTAATGGCCCATTATTGGGACTAAGGGCTAACCTACAACCCACCCTGTCCCATTAAGATTCTTCAAAATGTAATTTTGCCCTGCCCTTCCCCAATGCATGTTCCCTTGCCCTGCCCTTCCCCATTTGCATGTTCCCTTGCCCTGCCCCGTTTAGTGTTTACCCTGCCCTGCCCCACCCAATTGCTATATCTAACTAAACCTAGTTATGTAACACCATAAATATTTGTTGACCAAGTATGGAGTATTATAGTAAAAATGTCAGTAGGCAGTTGATAGCTATTTCAATATTTTAATTATTCACGTACACAACATCTTACATATTCAAGTACATATTTATCAATTTATGAAAGAAAAGAAGACATGAACAATAAAGTAAGTAAGGAAAAAATTGGGCCTCGGGCTACCTAATGGCCCACTATTAGGACTAAGGGCTGACCTACAACCTGCCCTGCCTCATTAAGATTCTTCATAAATGTAATTTTGCCTTGCCCCGCGCCCATTTACATGTTCCCCTACACTGTCCCATTTAGTGTTTGCCTTGCCCTGTCCTGCCCCAGCCCAATTGACATCTCTAAGTAAACCCATTTATGTAACAACATAAATATTTGTTGACCAAGTATAACGTATTATAGTAGAATGTCAGTAGGCAGCTGATAACTACTTCAACATTTTAATTATTCATGTACAGAACATCTTACATATTCAAGTACATATTTATCAATTTATGAAAGAAAAGAAGACTGAATAGTAAAGTAAGTAAGGAAAAAATTGGGACTCGGACTACTTTAATGGCCTACTATTAGGACTAAGGGCGGACCTACAATTTGTCCTGCCTTATTAAGATTCTTCAAAACTGTAATTTTGCCACATCCCGCCTCGCCCCATTTACATGTTCCCCCTACCCTATCCGATTTAGTGTTTGCCCT